TATATATATATATATATATATATATATATATATATATATATATATATTATATCTGACCCTCCTCTAATGGAAAATGAATTTCCTCAAGATAAAAGAAAAAAGCGTAATTCCTACTTATAATATTATATTAACACCTAAATCTCATAAAACGTCTGAACTGACTTATGGTGAAAAATAACAATAATAATTTAAATGTACATCGGGAATCTGTCTGTGTGTCGGGCCGTTGGAGGATGTTATTTAATATATTACATTGTAGTTGAGCCGGTAGACGTACAAATGGCGTATCCAGAATTTTTTTTTTTTTTGAGGGGGTTAGAAACAATGTAACATTTCATTTTTTTTGAATTTTCGTGCGTTTTTATTATAATCAATAGACAATAACCATACATTAAAAATTTTCAGTGGGGGATTATAACCCCCTAACCATCCTCTGGATACGTTACTGCGTACAATTGTATATACAAACGCGAATGCATTCAATATGAAAGACATAAACTGTAAAACTGATTATACTACGTTATGTGATGTTCTGCGGTTACGCCATCGTTCGACGATCGATTGTGGTAGCGCGAAGAGTAAAAAATGGAACCCACAAAATTATAATAATATACGCGAAATTTAAAACGATTTTCTACGCCGGTGTACATGCCCGCCAGAGCGATGTCGCGCGGTGGGAGGGATGTTGTGCCGTCAGAGGGTTCGCGCGGCTACGGCAACGACAGCGGCGGGGGGGGGGGGGGGCAAACGTTAGAAGGGGTGGGGCGGGTGACGCGAAATCCCCCCCACCCCGACACCCGGGAGCGACCATCACCGGTGCCGCCACCACCGCCACCACCAACACCATGGCGCGCGGACGGCCGTGTGCGTGTGCGGCAGGTCGTCCGGTGGCGCGGCGAGTGACGTCACGCCGACGTCACCGTTACGGGCGCGCTGCCATTGGTCCGGGGCGCCGCCGTCCGCCCGGCCCCGCCACCGCACCGCCGCCGAACGCCCGGCTCTCGTTTCCATATATGGGACAGAGACGGGCTTCATTCATAAAACGACGCTATACGTCGCCCCGCGACGCGGTGTGGGTAGTGCGCTCGTTTTCAGTGTACGGCCGCCGTATCCGACACACGCGCCGCGCGCGCCTTCAGTTCAACAAGTCGACCGGCGCCAGCATCACGTGCGTGAGCGTGACCGTGTGCGTGTGCGTGTGCGTGTATATGTGCGAGTGTGTGCAAAAATAATAAACGATACCATAATATACGCACGGCCGTTGTAATTATTATTATTACTATTCGTTATTGTTGTTGTTGTTATTGTACGTAATACGATTAATAGAAAAAATAAAAAAAAAATAAAATAAAATATTAATAAAAAAAATATAAAAAAAAAAAAAAATACGCCGGGTCCACGGACCGTTGCGGACGCGTAACGGACGATCAACGATAACGTTAAAAATTCGAAATCTCGACTTGTACGTACGCGATCCGCGAGTGTGCGCGCTCGCCCGCGCGCCCATGCAGCAGCAGCAGACGATGTGCCGCACCGCACAAACACCGGTATAGTGGCCGAGACGCGTCCGCGACCGTTAACCGTTCTCGCCCAGTGGATTACCGTCCCGACGGACAGACGCCACGCGAACAAAACAAAAACGATCCGCACGCCGATCCGATTACGCTCGGCAGGTAACCTCTAACCGTAGTCGTCGTCGTCGTCGTCGTCGTCGCCGGTGACAACGTCCGTTTCATCACCGTACGCGCGACCTCCCAGCGTAGGCCTGGCACTGTCCAGGTGCGTGATCCGCGTGCCTCTGGCCCCCAGCTCGTGGTCGCCGCCCCCGGACGATTGGTACCCGTTCCACGACATCGAGCTGGTCGAGTCGCCGGAGTCGCCGCCGCTGCCGCCGCCGGGCCCAATAATTGATCCGAAAGACCGCGCGCCCGCCGCCGAATACGCCACCGCGGATAACGACTGCAGCACCACCGCCGCCACCGCCGTCACCAATAACAATAATAATAATCGTGACCGGCGTGACGCTTGTGCCGTAGGTGCTACGCAGCAGCAGCAGCAGCAGCAGCAGCAGCATCAGCAGCACCACCACCAACAACAGCAACAACAGCAGCAGCAACAACCCGAAACCGATATGATAATGGAGTGTACTGCCCTGGAGCCGGGCGTCGGGCCTCACGGCCACCACGCGCACCATCACCATCACCATCATCATCATCACCCGTACTTGCTGGCCGAGACCGCGGCCGCCGTCACCACAGCAGCCGCGGCCGCCGGACACTTCAACGTGCTCAGCTTCGAACCGTACAAGGGCGGTGCGGTCACCGGCACCGGCGGACACGTGGGCAACGTCGGACACGGCACCGGCAGCTCGGCGTGCCACAGCCCGGCGCAGGGAAACGCCGGCACTGATCTCAACACGCCCGTGACCACGAGCGCCGAAGTGCCTTCGTTTTTCGGCCCGTCAACCGTCGTAGAACCACCTCTCATCACAGGTAAATAATTCGTTTTCTATTGCTGTTCAACACTATTCGAACGCGTGCACGTGTGTCTATAACTATTTAATGTACGACTCGAGTCGTTTAAATCGTTCTTTTTTTTTTTTATATATATAATTTTAACTTAAACCAACGAATTTCAACTAAAATTCGGTACGTTAAATTAAATTTACGGTGATTCACGTTTGTTGATAAAACCATTTGATAACGATAATACGCGCACACACGCATGTTTCATGATCATTGAACTTAACGTTTGAAAAGTTTTTCACAGAGGACCGGCCAAAAAATAAAATATTGGTTAAATTTTTCACCGCCTTAATAAATTTAACAATAGAGCAAACGTAATAAAAATCTAATCATTTAATAAAAATCTATACAAAAGTAGAAAATAATTGATTCATCTCCATACCACTTTAATATTTCAAAAATTAATAATAGATCTATTGCTAAAAAAAATAAAAACGTGTATGACGTATAAAAATTTCACTTGAGTTTCGCACAGAAAATGATCTTTAAATATTTATATATATATATGCGAATGAAATGGTATAAAAACGATTTTCACTACCCCACCGCCAACGACGGTAATATTTAAGGGTAATGTCGTTAATATCGATCTCGTGACGGCGCGCCGCGTCAAGGTGAATGAAATACTTTCCGATAAATAAATATATTTTACACTTTCTTATTTTACTACTTGAGCTCATTTTGGGTTCATACTATAGTGATAAAAATTTCAAGGGGCGGTAAATATGTATCAACATTTTTTTTTTTAAATGCTTAAATAATAAAAATATTGAAAAAAAAATTTTTATGAATCGCAATAGTTGAATATATTATTTAGTTTCATTAAAAATTTAAGCTATTGACTAGAATATTTTCGACAAAGACTGCATGTAACAATTTGCAAAATGATTGGGTGCCCATAAAACCACGTATTATTTGTTCCTATACATGTGTTCGTTCATCGCACTCCTACGGCGATATCCAATCGTATTTCACTGCGCTAGAATTCCAAAAGTCCTAGAAGATGTATTTCTCAAAACTTCACGAAGATATTCATGTGTAAATTCTAGACCCTATAGGATACATGTCCGATCCACCACTATCTACAGGTGACCTCAGTCATATGTATAATGTTTTCCACTTTACGGAAACGTGAAGACATAATTTATATCCCATGATCTATGTTCTGAAAATGTACTTTATACACGTACAACTGGATTATATTACATGCACAATATATAAAGCAAATGACACGAGTGCCGACGGGTACGATGGCATTGGGTGGGTCAACGATCCCGCCGGGGTAAGGGGTGGTCGTACAAAGTTGAATGGACTCGCTCAGAATCCATATGTGTGTGTGTGTGTGTGTAAGCGAGAGGGTGGTGACCATGGCATTGCGAACTGCGGGCGACGATTGATCAATACACGCGGGCGAGCGCGCGTACACAACTCGCAGGAGGTGTCGGCGGAGGGTGAAAGCGGGTGTGCTAGCGACGGGGGTTGCCGAAGGGTACGGGGCAAGGTCTGATGGAGGTGGATGCCCCTCGCGCTCCATGAATGGGACATCATTGCCAGTTTGAGCGGCTGTATACGTGTTCATGTGTGTGTGCGTGTTTTTGTGCGCGCGCGCGCGTAAGGAGAAAGATCGATATAATAGGTTGTGGCGTCGGCGACGACCCTGCAAGGAATAATAAAGCAGACTGTAAACGCCGAGAGTGTATTACATACGCACACACATAAAACTACACTTTTAAATACACATCGTTGTTTGTACCGATGTGAACAACACATTTCCACCGATGGATTACCGTTATAAAAAATAATAGTATGCGTACAATTAATTTGATTTTATAAGTGTTACACATGACGGTCGATTACAGCTATTCTTGCTATAATAAAGAGTAATTATGTACATGAAAAAAAGTTAAGGCAATATTGTTTTATAATATTTTAATGAATTTGTTGATAATTTTTTTCCCTACGTGGTTTAAAAGAAAGAATTTGTTTACGGTGTCACTTTTAAAATTCTAACGAGAAGTCAACCTGTGTATATTTTCTCAGCGATGCAGATCGACGTACAACTTTTACGTTGACTATTACACGTAAAGCACTTAAAATACCCTGGCGGTGTATACTGTGTGTGTGTGTGTGTGCGCGCGCGCGCGCGCGTATAAGTATGTGTCGACCCAAACTGATTTCCAACGTCGTTGTTTATCGTATATACTGTTATTGTAAAATATAACATTTTTTGCTTTATTAAAGACACATACGTCTCTATTCGATTATATGTATATTATATGCGCCGAAATTAAAATCAATATTTCCCAAACATATATGAACGTATAAACCCCACCATTACTCTCAAATCTCCCTTGACCACCGCATTAAAGTATAACTGCACATAATCTTGCGTTACTCGTAAATATTCTGGTTGAAATTTAGGTGGTGTGTATATAAATTCGTATGTACAGTGTACGAAATAAATTCACGTTTTAATTGCAAAAACACTCGCGAGCTCGTTATATAATTTATACGCCTTATGGTAAGAAATTAAGAACAGAATTGATCAGACAGTTCACATTTAACGAAAGGTTATGTCCTTTCCTCGGTCTTCAACAAAAAAGACATATTACTATATGCAGCGATTGGTAAAAATAAATCTTTCATCGCGTCGTGTATAAATTATACGTTATACGAAATAATGTAATCATCGCGGTTTATGATGAAGATTTTATCGTAAACTAAACCAAGCCGCGTCTACTGAAGTTTTGACACAATAGTATATGATAAACTGTTAACATTTATTGCCCAATCAAGCTCGCCTGTTCGTGAGCTTGATAAATACTAATTTTTTCATTGCAAAAATTTTTTATTATTCGAAAAAAATTGTTTAGATGTTTTAAAATTAAAATAATTACGTACACGGTTGTGACAAATTTGTGTCGTTTAACTATAAAATAACGTTAATTAGAATTTTTAAAAAAATACTTACGTCGGTAGTCCAGTAATATTTGGCTCTCAACCAACACAATATTCACATTGTCCATATAATCACTGAACATCCATGCATAGACCTAAAAATAAATTATTATTATATCACGTACATGGATAAAATGCATCTTTTTATATTATATAATCCAGTAAAACAATTTAAAAACTAATGTGATCTGTGCCCGCATGATTCCTTAAGTCCTGTTCTGCACACATTCGCACTGATTAAAATCAATTAATGTTCGTTTAAATTTATTTAACGCATATTTATCTATATGTATTATGCACGGTAAGACGATAAATATGTGGTTGGAAAAAATTTCAAGACTCATTATTACTATCGATAACATCTTACTGCAGTTCGACGCTTTATGTTGTTTTTACTTTTTCGTATGAAACTCGAAACGGTAAAAAAAAAATAAAATGTCGCGGCATTTTTGCTTTCTCTCGGCATCCCATCTGAATATCTGAACTAAACACGATTTATAACGTGACATCTTACGTGCGTTAATAATTTTTGTATAATATAATGTATTCTAGTTTGTGGCCACGTTGTTTACTCGTATAATTTATATATATATATATATATATAAACCTATAGTTAAACACTCAGCGTGTGGTACCCGATAGTGATCCCCAATAGTCTACAAACCACTGGGTCAGTTGTTTTAGTTTTAAAATCTCAGGAAAATGTATATAAATAACAGTGACGTAAAACAAAATAAAAACAACAAAATGTTTCGTATAAACAATGATCAGAAGTCTTAATTCTTTAGTATTTTTATATTTTCAATCTGTTGTTCGAATAAAATTCTAACAAACGGTTACAGTCAGTATATTTTATTGTTCTTTTGTTTGTAATGACTAGTTTTCAAAACTGCGTGAGTTTCATTATTGGGTTATTTTTCAAAAAAGTAATATTAATTCAACAAAAACATTTCAAGTGTGTTTGCGTAACCCTGAACAAAAAGGTGAAAAATATTTGGCTCGAAAAACGGTTTTTTTCTCATAAGTATTATAATACTGCTGTTTTTATAGAACATTATACATATACATACACTGACAACGGGATTTTCACGGATTAACGAATGCCTCTAATAAGGACTTCAGTAATGTATACGTGCTCGAAATCATAATGTACATGAGTCGTAAGATTCACATAGTTTAGAATGGGTTAAAAAGACCAAGGAATAATAAAAATAAAAAGCATGTAGAAAAAGAATGAATTCTGCACCAGCATAAACCAGTTGTCGTCGCCGTCGAGATAATCCTAAAAATATGTGACACACGTTAAAAAACCACAAACAGTTGCATGTGTACATAGCATCTATAAAATCTGGAGTCCAAAAATATTATTCTAGGATCATGAATATTTATCAAAAATTTTATGTCATAAAAATGAAAAAAAAAAGCATAGATTATCGGTATGTTTTAAATGAAATGTCCTCTGTGCGCTGATACTGACTAAAATCCTTGTTTATCACATACAATTATTATCTTTCCACTCTTCGTTACAATACAGTTTCCTCTAGCGTACTATTATAAAATGTTTTGGGCAAATTAACGAACATAATGTTATCAAGCCACCATATGACATTTTAATGGTGATTTAATGTTGTTTAATTTTATTTTATAAAACGGTAATTTTTTTTATACATTATAAAAATAATAATTTAAAATATTATTAAAATATTTATCGTTGCGAGTATTGGTCAAATAATATTTACAGAATGTATAGTATGAACATAGCAAAAACTGTATAGGAATAAAAGTGATGGAAAGGGTGTGTCGAATAACGAACGAAGGTAGGACCTGCGATAATATACATTACAAGAATCGGTAAAATCGCGTTGTTAGTATCGTGTGTTGAAGTTGTACACTTACAACTAGCGCACGGTTATTATTAAACGCGTGAACGTATAGAGCGCAGAGTGGTGGCATAAATCCAAAATGCGTTTTCGTTTTCTACCAAAAAATAACCACCGACACGTGTCACTAATTTTAATCACCGAGTCTTAGACAAATAATATTAAAAACGACCCGTTTTGAAAATCGAACGCGTAATAGGTATTCCCGTTGAAAGTTTGTGGAAAATAATTGCGCGACTGACGGATTCCCTGTTTTTCTTTTACAGGATCATTACAGGACCCCGACGATAACGGCAACAATCGAAACGCCGTGGAACACAAACTGGAAGTATCGCTGCAATTGAAGACCGAAGCCATTGGCGGCGAACCGGAACAAGATGATGCAGCCGGGCAGGACGTCATGTACTCGACCAACCCTAGCATGCCGTCGGGTCAGTCCAGGATCGGTAGTTATAGGTTCTCAACGAACAGTCCTATGCAAACAGCACCGCCGTGCTCAACCAGTTCCTCGAATAACAACAACCACCTCAACACCTCGTGGCTTCTGCCCAGCCCGGACAAGAACATGTTCCCACCGTTGTTCGGACTGCTGCCCCAGCCGTCGAGCACGCCCACCTCGTACCACAGCTCCAGTTCGCCATACGAAGACAGATCTCAACAGAGTCAAGTAGAACTGCTTGGGCTGAGTATCGAGTGCGGTAAGCAAGCGACTACCACTTACACCGGTTGCGGCGGAGTGACTGGGAACGACCAAGATCTCATATACCACGGCGGCCGCGGTCAGATGATGCAACAGCAGCAGTCACCGGTAAGCAAATACCATTGGCTGGACTCACCCGTCGAGTACGGCGGACAACCGCAGCAACAGCTGCAATCTCAACAGCAGCAACAGCAACAGCAGCAGCAGCAACAGCAGCAGCAGCAGCAGCAAATGGTTCCCAAACAAGAGTTCACCAACGTGGTGGACGTACAGTCGCCGGGCTCGTCGAGCGTGTCGCAGGGTTACAGCGCGGTGCAGCTGGCCGAGTACAACCCGTCGACGAGCAAGGGACACGAAATACTGTCGCAGGTGTACCAGCAGTCATCGCTGCCGCTGAAGCTGGTGCCAGTCAAGCCACGGAAGTATCCGAACAGGCCCAGTAAGACGCCGGTACACGAGCGGCCGTACGCGTGCCCGGTGGAGCACTGCGATCGCCGGTTCTCCAGGTCCGACGAGCTCACCAGGCACATACGCATACACACTGGCCAGAAACCGTTCCAGTGCCGTATATGCATGCGGTCGTTCTCCAGATCCGACCATCTCACCACGCACATTCGGACGCACACCGGCGAAAAGCCGTTCACGTGCGACGTGTGCGGCCGGAAGTTTGCCAGGAGTGACGAGAAAAAGAGGCACGCCAAGGTGCATCTGAAGCAGAGGACGAAAAAAGATACCAAAATGGCGGCGTTGCTAGCACAACAGCAACAACAGCAGCAGCAGCAGCAGCAACAGCAGCAGCAACAGCAGCAACAGCAACAACATCAACAAGGGTCTTCTCAACATATGCATCATATGGGATTCCAACCGGGTGATGCTGGTCACATGTAGACTCGTTCATGTTCAAATATGTCTTTATACATTTATTCCCTTTTACGTGTATTCTTCGTACGCAGGGTGTTAGCGACCTAAAGGTAAGCACTGAAAAAACTATACCGTTACCATGTTTTCAGTTTAGTTCTAACGATATATATATATATATACATATATATATATGAGTCTGTCCGTCTTGCGTTTCTTTTCTTATTTTTATTATTGGATCACAGAGTATTTATATCGCCGGCAATGAAGTCGTTAAATTCAAAACAGGGACATAACTATTTGTAATTATTGGTGCTACAATGCTACATGATCATCATGTCTTCAATGTAGGCCACATTGAGTGTACGGAGTACGTTGTCGTAGAGCCACTTAAATTTCAAATCTACTTTAAACTTTAAACTCACGTAAAGTTTACTCCGTGAAAAAGTTAAAAGTACATTTTTCTCCTTCAGTATTTTATACCAATATAAATCACGCATCTTGTATTGCAACACTTTTTAATGTTTCACTAATCTGTGATCTAAAATATTTTGAGTGAAATTTCAAATTCTAGAAACATAATATATGTTTGTAATTTAAAATAGGCGCATTCGCGATGTTTAGTGATGTGTTCCGTAGTTAAGCCATATGTTTCTCAAGTCATATGTAAAAAAATAATTAATAGTATTAATTTGCATCTGGTTTCCAGATTCACAAATTATTATGGTGTCGATCTGCTCGGATCGGACTCATTTATGTACCTGATTAAACCACGATTAAAAATATAATGCACGAATACATTCCTTGCAAAAATATACATTAGTGGACTATAATAATAGTCCCTCGTTGTTTTTGGCATTTATTTTATTTGCTTATTATCAATACTACCGTCATTTTCTTTTTTATTATTATTATGGTATGCCTTTTTTGCATTCCAACATGCCTATATTTTTTTATTGATCTTTCTTTGAAAATATAGTTTATGGAAAATTCAAATTTTAAGGCTAAATCGGTACGAATTCTTTACTTCATAAAATTTACAACATATTTTAAAAGACATATTTTTGTACATGCGGAAAAATGAATTAATATTTCATTTTTTTAATTTATTTATTTATTTTTTCCTTTGTTTTTCTGTAAATTATTCAAAATTAGTTTTAGTTCATAATTTTTTTGTATATCATTGTTTCTGTTAACATCATACTTGTTCTTCGGTTAAAGCATTTTATATAATTCCTAAATTAAAAAATTAAACGTTGAAAATTATTAACACAATTATTTAACAACTTACTGCTAAGGTGTTTTTACTGTAAGTATAAATTAATTAATGTTGTTTATTTTTTTATTCATTCATTGGTGTCTTAAATTTTGTTATTTTATAAGTTAATCGTATTTTTTGTATTATACAACAATATAATAGCTTGTATTTGTATACGAAAATTTGTACAACAAATTAATGGTAAATCGCTCAATGGGCTTTTATATATTATATAAATTCAGTTCTAAAGTCTCTTTTTATTTCAAAATATTATATTCTACAACTCAGTGTTCGCACAAAAATGTTCTTTGTTAAATACAAATTATACATCGTATTTATATTTTTACTCACATATGTATTCTGATTCTCAAATTACTAATTTGAACATTTTTTTTATACAATTTAATCAAAAGGGAAAATTAATTGTATAATATAATATAGTTCTCATTAAAAATTATATCATTATTCGAGTTTTTATCAAGTTTGATTAACCGAATGCATACATAATTCACTTTTATTTAAGCATATTTTTAATTAATAATTATTATGATTATTTATCAAAATGAAAAGATATATTGGTTCATTAAGTCACTATAGGTTAATCTATAATATAAAAATAAACACAGAAAAAAATTAAACAAAAGAATTTATGAAAAATACAGGTCAGGATAGCCACACTGGTTGGCGTAAAGTTACCATTCGAGACCATATTCGTCAGTAATTCTTTTTCGTACAACTGAATGTAATCTTAGAACTTTTAACATGCTCACACATAGCCCTGTGTATAAACATACAAACACACCTAAATATATATATATATATACATTACTTTACAATGTTTGACAATCTACGAACAGTAAATATTTCTTAAATTGACATACGTTCAAATAAGGGCATGGCGGTCAAAATTATTCCATTTTTGAGCTGCCAAAAATTTGTTATATACTAATGAAGAAAAAAAAACGTTCATTCATTATATGTCGTTGTTATTATAAATTAAAAGATTTTTTTTCTATATAGTTTGTGAAGCTTGATGTTTATGTAATTGTACATTATTATTTTACTTTTATTACTTGTATAAAAAAAAAAACAATTTGACGTTATAATATTTATCAAATATATTTTACGTGTCTAATGTTCTGTCTTCTTTGACTGACATATTTTTCTTCTTTTTATATTTTATGTGTAAAATATTCAAAAAATAAATAAATGTCTGTAAAATTGTTAACTAAAAAAAATTGTAATTTATTTTATTCCTCGGGACACACTTTTGAACAGGTACATTCTCACACAGAAGTATAACATTTGAAATTTATTGTGCTTATATTATGATATTATAACATATAAAGGTACATATTATTGCGTGTTTTAGACGCGTAAATGTATAGTCTTTATATGTCCATACACCAACATAATATAACTTCAAATGCTTTAACGTTGGTGCACAAACACGTGAATAGCTCTGAGCTGATTTATCTAGTTATTCATTGCTGTGCTTGGTTATCGCTTTCAAGTTAAATTAAATTATACGCGAAACCTCTATGAAGATGTATCTTCAGAGTCCAATACTTAATTGTTAGACAGAACGAAGTGGTTCACATATTGGCGTAAGATATATATGTATTATATTTGGTAAATGACCGCAAACGGTTTTCAATCGAAATATATTTCCATGTATTATTCAAAGTCTTTATACAAATTTTACTATTTTCATACAATACAGCGATGAGGATACAAAAATCGTTTTCAGTGCTTTAGTGAGGGTAGTGAGTGTGTATATAACTTTATAGAATTCATATCAATTTGAATGTACATACGGTTCACCTACTATTTTTTTCATGAAATTAAATGAAAACAGTATAGTATTCAAAAACATTTCGAGACTGCGGCGCAGGACTGCGTATTTAACGTATTTGGGACGTCATACGTAAACGGTAAGTATATTTATGTCACTTATCATATGCACTTGATAGTTAGGACTGCATTACACAAATAGGACATTCATTAGCAGTACGGTATAGCTTTAGGAATGTATGTACTATGAACAAGAAAAATTCTACGGGTTGGAAACTATCGCGACGTTAATATAAACTTCGCGGTACGAACGAACAAGACCTTGGAGACCTCCGATCCCTGACATCTGAATTTATAATACAATGGCCGAGTAAATAGTAAATGAAACGACTGTATCTCGTCGCAATTAACATATATTTATCGTCCTGCTCAGCAATGACACTCAATGCAATTGCTCTTTCGTTTTCAACATTTTTAATTAATAGATTTTTATATAAGATTTGATCATTTATATATATATATATATATACACGTAAACGCGTATTAAACGATTACATCAAGGCAATAATTTCATTTTCTGTTACCCAAATGTTTTCAATCGAAATTCTAAAACTTACATGTTATAAGCAAATCACAATAAAAAGAGAATAATATACGTATAAACTAAATTGAAAAAAAATATAATTAAAAAAAATAATATGCAAAAAATAACTTTTTAAATATTGTTTAGTGTATTAACATATGAATCTCACCAAATTTATTATAGATGGACTTAAATTGGTTTAATTATACATATATATATATATATATATATTTATATTTATATATTACAAACATAGCAGTTTTAACATGTTTTACTTAAAAATATGTATTATTTTGTTATTACCCTTCTACTATTTATTAAAAATAATTTATTATAACGTCTTAATACATATATGCACAAAGATTAGCATGTACATTATGCAATCTAATACACTTTTTATACAGTAAAAAAATTATTAAATTTTTTACTACATGTATATTTTAGTATATTTTATGCTAAATTAATTTATTTAATATTATTACAAATATATTTATATATTATTTTTAATAATTTGTTTAGACTAAATAATTATAATTTCATTTATCTTATATTATCTTTAATATACATACTAAAAATGTCGATATAATTCTCATTATCTCTTGAAAATTGTTCTTACATATAATTTTGATAAAATTATGTTTTTAATAAAAAAAGCATACTATACATTATTTTATTCATTGATATTCCAAATTATTTATGGTTATACAGATTTAATAGTAAATAAATAACTTCTGAAACTTACTTATTAATGAAATTCAATTAAAAAATTATGAAAATAAAGTATTTAACTATAACATATAAACAGATACAGTAAAACCTCTCTATAACGGAATCGTTTAGGACAAAACGTTTTTCCGTTGTAAAGAGTTTTCCATCATAGTAGGTAGGGGTAAAAAAAAATTAAGTTTCAAAACTGTATATATGTATGTGTTAAAAAATTATATTTTATATTTATTTTGTAATATGATTTTATAAATTAAAAAAATGCAGCAAAATTTATACTTAACGTTTATTATAATTATATATAATTTTATTTATTTATTTTTAGTACGTGTATATATATATATGTATATTTATGATTTAAATATATATCAATTATGAGTACACAGTGCCTATTCTAGGTATTGCGGGGCCCTGGGCATGGGTATTAGACTTTAGATTCCCAGAGAGCTAGCTTTTTTTTTAAATCAGGATTTTTTTAAAAAAATACAGTTTTTCGTCGAATTTTAAACAATAACTATGGAGTAAATAAATACTAATATTATTATTTATTGTAGGAATACTACTCGACGGGTATTGTGAAAATATTACGCTTTCGTTGTATCGATAACGATTTACTTTGTAATTTGCACTATGGCTAAATTTAGATATAATTTTCCAAATAACTAATGATAGGCATAATATAAATTTATAATTTGTTGATATAAAAAGTCAATGTGTCTCACGGTATTAAGATGATAATTAAAAACCACGGGGCTCTTTAACAAGCGCGGGGCCCTGGATAATTTTCCATTTGTCCTCCCCTAGCGCCGGCACTGTGAGTACATACATTTTATAGTAATATCGACAGTTGTACATAATTTTATTGTTGTTTATAATAATAATGTAATATAAATTGTATTATTGGTACATATGTATGTTTACTTTAATTTTATTTTTCACATTTAAGTTATATAGAAAAATTAAATAATTTCTAAATTTATTTATTTTTAATTGAGTTCCTTGAATATAATTCAACAGAAATGATAGTACATTATTATTTTGCTATTTTTATCCAATGTTTTTTGTTATATTATATTTGAGACAGACTGTAATATTTGTATTGATAACAAATAAAATATATTAATGAAATTATTATTTTCAAAAAATTGTAATATAATATCGGTATATTAGCTCAAAATTCAATAAAAAAAAGTAGATACAAAATAAGTATTTGAAATTATCAAAATATCGATAGTTGGTTGATTTGGCCGCTTTGGTTTTATACTACCTGAGGACATTGTATGGTCAAGATAATAATCATAAATTTTATGTTCCTCGATGTAAACGTCTCGTTTCCGGTGTTCAATAAAAATTAAAAAAAAAATAAAAAAAATAACGTCCATTAAAAAGGTAAAAAAAACAACTTGCGACTTCTTTTCGGTGTGTTTGCTCATTATCGACTACCTAAGAGGTGTCTGAACGAGTACAATATGTGTTCACACTCACACACACACGTACACACTCATACAGTCTTTATTTCTCTTTTTACACACGGGGGTCACATTGAAGGCGTAACAGGAGAAGTGTTAGGACCAACACATGATAGCTGAACAAACAACAGTTTATCACCATACTGTGTGCCGAGTGCTACTGAATATGCTAATGAAGAATTGTTCGGCCACAGATTCATGTAGTGTTGTTTATTTATTTATTTTTTCAATTTCAACATATTCGAATACAAGGCAT